TTGGCCGACTATTTAAAGAAAAAGCTTGCATCTGCTCTCCCTATTCGTTAATCTAAAAATAGATGACAGTTCCGGACGGATCGGATCACTCGCTGATAGGGAACGCTTTGCCTTGTACCAAAATTTGCAATTTGGCTCAGATAACCCACGTAAGTTCCCCCCCTGCAGCGCATGCCCCTCCGGATAGAAAAGAAATCCCCGAATTGTATGTCTTCTTTCAAAGACAACTTGAGGGGAATACCCATCCGCCACAAGTGCGGCCTCTACGTGTCTTTCGATTTAAAGTTGACTCTGGACGAAGGAGTCGAGGATTCGCTCGTTATAAGCTACGCCCCACCAGTTCGCCCTCAATCGAGCAGCGAGCTCTTCCCGCCGGCTGTTGTCATCGAGAAGCGGAGGCTCCAGTTCGGGAATCACTGCCTGTTGATTCACGCTCGCTTCACTGGATTCTTTTGAAGATGGCATAGATTGTAACAAAACACCTTCTTCGAAACTTCTCCAGCCCGAGGTCGATGCACCGTCAGAGGGTTGCTCCGCTGCAGGATTGGCAGCAGGTTGACCTCCTGCTGGATCCATCATTTTCAGGGTAGACTCATCGAGGCCCGAAAGAAGACAAAGAAGAATAATTAGGGGAACCTCCCAACCAAAAAGTCGAATGAAGAGTAATCGGACTAATCGAACCAAAGGGACTTGATCCCCCAAAAGATTGAAATCTAAGCCGATTACTAGAGCTAAGAAATAGCCAAAAATCAGGAAGAATAAAACGATCGAAATTCTGACCAAAGAATTAGACATTCGAAGACCCCAGTTACTCATATAAGCACCCTCGTACATCTCCCTCATCTTTTTGCAAAAAGCCGCTCCACGGTGGTAAAGTCTCATCTTATCCTCTTTCTGAGTCATAGCTTTTCCTAGAAATCCTCCTCTTCCTGTTCTATTGATAAAAAATATCCAGGAGCAGCAATATAGCGCCGATTTATAATTCGCGAGAGATTTAAGTACGCTAAGTGAAACGGTCAATTTGCCTATTTTATTTTTAGCCCATATTAGCGAGATCTGACTCAATAGGAACTGCACTTAGACTTGCCTCTATGGCTTCCTTTCATTTCCTTGTATGGCTTGTCTTTCTATTGGACTGATAGAGCTCGCTCTAATCTCAATTTTTAATAAAGACTCACATACTCCATTCTAAAGAATTATAAGTCGATTGACTTCGTACCTCTCCTGACCGAGAAAAATCAGTTCCAGAGGCATCCTCCATTCATATCGATTTGGGTTTTTCTGCACCATATTTTGATCTGCCTCTTCTTCGATCCGGGATTCCCAACAAATCCTTGACTCCTCGAATACAATGGGATTTAACACCTGGAAAATATTTAACTCTACCTCCTCTTATTAAGACCATATAATGTTCTTGCGAATTATGACCTTCGCCCGGAATGTGAGCAAATATATCATGTCGATTGCTCAATCGTACTTTGGCTATCTTACGTGGAGCTGAATTTGGTTTTTTCGGTGTTCTCGTTGAAACACGCGGGCATACTCCTTGCTTCTGGGGACATTGATCCGAAGCTCGAGTACAGTCCGTGCACCGTTTTTCTTCTCTACCATGACGAATCAATTGATTTAATGTAGGCATCGCTCTTTCCTTTGTCCTTCCTCCCTATTTTTGCCCTATCACTAGTGATTACTCCCGATCCGAAGCACCCATTTTCCATTCATAGAGAGATCCAATCGTCAAAATCAATAAAAAGGCCATCATAGACCAAGATCCAAACGGATCAATCTTGTTGGGAGGTACTGCCCAAGGAAAGGAAAAGGTTACTTCCGGATCAGGAATAATAAATAAAATGGAAACAAGATAAAATCTTATATCGAAACGACTTCTGGCATCACCGAAAGGATCGAAACCACATTCGTAGGCCGACAATTTTTCAGGATAGGTCGAACTATTGGAAGCAAAGGGAAAAGGAAGACCGAGTAAGATCAAAGAAACTAGCAGACTGATCACTAAATAGATACAAATAGGTGCAAATTCTGACATTACCATAAACCACTTGGTTCTTTCGCTCCATTCTCGCGGATCGGCATACCGGAAAAAAAGAAAAAAGATTCGGGCCTGGTCTGGTCGACCCAATCATGACATTTCGACACATTGGGGCTATGGGACTCGAACCAAATTATTCCACGACCCCCATTTCCTTATCTTATGATATTTTATTTTTAAGATCACATCACCTTTCATACCAAAAAGAAAGCTCCTCATATACGATAGCACCAATGATAGAAGTAGAGAATGCTATCCTTCTTCTTTATTTCATCTGCAGAGCCTAATCCCTTTATCCCCTCTCCCTTAGGTTAGGGTGCATTCCTGGTGAGTAAGCCGAGTCCTTCTTGCTTGAAAGGAATAATAGCTTGCTTCCTTTGTGACTGAAAACTCTTTATAAGTCCAATTAGGCCTGAGCCCTTGTGGTAAATTAGCCAGCCCACTTCCACCAGTTCTGACTTCCTAAGGAAGTGTAAGCCATACTTTCTTGGCACTGTCAGCCACGCTTTGTTTGAGATCCGTTGCAGGGCATGTGAACTTCTTTGTAAACGGGCTTCTTCCTAGGTCATTCGCTTGCGACCACTTACTGGAAAGACTTGCCTTATGCCTATCCCTTGTTTGCTGGATTTTCCTTGCCAGATTTCCTTTCAAAACTACTGCTTGTCCTGTTAGTCTGTTAGATCACATGGACAGAACTCAAAATTACTAATTAATGGTTGGCAGGTAACGGGAAATGAATGGAATGGCATTGGCTTATGGGGCACTCCCTCTGGATGGATTAAGATAACAGGCCTCGTCCCAAAGCAAAGGAAGAAAGAGGCTTGCTCACATAAAATATCCCAGCAAGGGAAAGATCAGCCCCATAGCGTATTCAGGTATATCCCCAATCGCATATTATGGGCCATATGCAGCCTATATATATGTATTTCCTGCAATGTCCAGGCCATTTCCTTTCGATGGCAGATCCCGTGGAAGTTAACTTTGTTTTGCTGTCGGACCAGGAGAGTGAATCGAATAGGTTACATAGGCAGGACAGACGAGTTCTCAAACATTTCCTGGCGCTGTTAGCCTGCCCTAATCTACTTCCTTCTCCTTTTTAGAAGTTACTGTTTACTCATCTTTTCCGAAGTGAGCATATACTTAATCTCCCCTAGTGTAAGAAAGTTGATTTCTATTTCTAAAACTTGCCTCTTGTAAGTGAGTGTATAAAATGGCATATCTAAGTTAGTTTGAAAGCCGGGTTATTAAAATACCAATGCCCTCTTTTGACATTGTTCGAGTTCACTAGCGCCTGAGTCTGTTACGGTGAGTGAGGAAGCCTTTAAATTGAAAGCAAGCCTTTCTTTTATTCAAGTAGGAATTATAGGCAAGCTAGCAATTCTTCAAGTGAGAGTTTACATCCAGTGCTACATTTAGAGTTCAAGTTGTAGGAAAGGGAAAGAGACTTAGGAGAGCCAGCAGGCGCCAGCAAGCTAGGTTTTAAGTGAGCAATCTTGTGATTTCCTTGCCATCCAATTACAATTACAGTTGCTATCTAGTTTCAGTGCCTGTGAGTAAACCAGTTCAAGCAAGGGTAAAAGCATATTCCGATTCTGACTAGCTGATTATAGAGTCATATGCTAGGCCAGTTTCCAATCATCCTGTTTTTAGTTTGTCGTGTCAGGCGAGCAAATGGGTTCCCTAGGCAGTAATTGGTTGCAGGGCATTTTCCTTGGATGTTTTTTCTGTCCTATAGATATAGAACAACAGGTAAAGCCTTAATTAAACCTTTGGGTGATCAAAGAAGATAATCAAGGCTCCTCTCCTTTTCTAGGAATCTACAACTCTCTTTACTGAGCGAGACTCTACCCAGATCTAAAGAATTCTCCAAAGAGCCTTCTTCTAACTAGGAGAGTCAGCAAGCTACCGGAAGTGAAGCTTCTGGATCCCCCTTTGAATTTCCAATTCCTTCTTTTCGTTCTACTTAGGTGGAGCAATCCGAACTTTCGACAGAATATAAAATAGCGTCTTCGAACCTGTGTAGACACCTCAACGAACTCATGTGCACACTCCTCATCCCGAGCCGAGGACAATTTATCAAAAATACACATTAAGATGTTGACCCGTTTTTCTTTTCTTTGCTGATTCCTCTCAATTAAATTTGCCATGTTGCACTAAGTTACTTACGTATGTATGCATGCGGTCCGGGAACACTTTGGGGTGAACACCCATCCGAACAAGTAGGGTCAATAGTTCAGCATTTAGGCCGTAACATTTAGCAACAAAAAAATCTTTAACCCAACAACTGCTCTCCGAACCAAGCTAGATAGTCTCCTATCACTAGGCTCACCAACCAACCTGGACTTTTATTCTGATTATTCCTACCGGATATCAAAACCATAAGGAAGGATTGTTTCCAGCCATGAGTTCCCATATTACATAAGCGCTCTTGGGTGGGCCATTCCATCAAATCTTTGAGAAGGGGCCCAATCTCGTTTTTTATGGTCGGCGTGGCGATAGGCTTCGCTTCTACGACTGCCTCCCCAGCCGTTGCAAAGACTGAGCGAGAACGGTAAGGGGCGGAATGTCGTTGCGCGGGGATGCGATTAGCCAAGCTGGGGCAAACAAATTCGTCCGGCCCCCTACCGGATTAGGAAAGCGAAGGCCTTTCCTTCGAAAGGAGACCGGGTAAATCAAGAGCTATGCTATTGACCGACCCTTTCGTAGTGACTTCGAATCAATAGTCCTATCCTTTTTTATCATTTTGTTTGAGGCGGGCCGAATAGAGAATTAAATGCAGAAATACGGGAAGAGTTCCAAACCGGTTTAAGGGCTGCTCGCCCTACCGAAGTACTAAAGGCTTTCGAGGCTTACACCTCCCTATTACACGACCTAAAAAAAGGTAGCTTGTTGTAGCGCCCTTACAAGAAATCTAAGCCTTTTGAAGCGCCAGTAGTTGTAGCTGTGGCCACAC